GTTGCCACTTTACTTATAGAAGTAAGGTTGCAGTAATTCACACCATTCATTTTATTTAGATGGTGTGGATTTGACATTATCTTAGAAGATGTGTCACTTTTTGCCGTTGTCTTAAAAGACGTGTCAAATCTATACCATCCAACTAATATGGAAGGTATAGGATATTGCAACCCTACTTTTACAAGTAAGGTTGCCACCTTATACACACGCATATACACATACATGAAATTGAAGTATAAGGAATTTCAGAATTTTTATTTTAAATTAAAAGTATTATGCTAATATAATTTAGGAAAATTATTATATCCACCCCCCCCTCTGATCTCTTTCTCTTTCTTATATTTTCCTGTGAAATATTAAATTGGAGGCCTTTCTTCCTCTATTGAATTTCTCCAAATTTCCTGATCACTCTGAATGCCAAATTGGAAATATCAATCCCCACTCTCAAAAATCAAATAACAACAAAGCTAGTCTCTTTAAAATATCTGAAATCCCCAAAATCTAGATTAAAAACAGTACCACCAAAATAACTGAAATGTCAGGAATTGAAATCTTGACTAGCAGTTCACCAACTTCAAATCTCCAAGTTTTTTTTGTAAGAAATGAGTCAACCCTCTAGTTTCTACGGTTTCCAATGAAATCTAGATCTGACAAAACCGAAGTTGTTAGGATTTATCATCTTTCGGCTCTTGTGGGTCAATGGGAAGGAAAAGATTTGCTGTACGAGAAAATCCTTTTAACTTGCATTTTCAGCAGTTTTATTGTTTCTGAAGGTCATTTTCAGTGGTGAGAGAATGAGAGAGAATAGCGAGGAGCTCTCTTTGCACTGTTGGGCTCTTTTTCTTCTTCACATAAATACAGAAGCTATAATAAACCCAAAAGGGATCAATTCAGACTCTCATGATCTCCTCATTTTCAGTAGTTTTATTGTTTCTGAAGGTCATTTTCAGTGGTGAGAGAATGAGAGAGAATAGCGAGGAGCTCTCTTTGCACTGTTGGGCTCTTTTTCTTCTTCACATAAATACAGAAGCTATAATAAACCCAAAAGGGATCAATTCAGACTCTCATGATCTCCTCCATCTTTTCTCATTTCGAGTCATTGAACACCTATAACATCTCTTGATCTTCTTCACCTTAAATTTGTGGAAACAAGTACGAAGATTCCATAACTTTTACTGCATTTGCAAATGCGTTTATTGTGGCAACCAATTACTAAATTACATCGCAATTATCCTCGAGAATTCACAGGAATAATTTCACCAGAAAATTCGTTGTATCTACTATGACTATCTAATTCACAGGGAAATTTGAGAGCTTTGAAAGTTGATTAATAAAAAAGTTAAGTGATCTTGGGGCTATCCGAAAGCTATCTTATAGTGGGCTGCAATTCATTATTTGGTAGCCCAAAAACTATTTGTTGCTGGAAGATGGGGTGATTCCACTGTGATTTTAAAAAAAGCCAAAATCTTGGGATCTCTTTAGAGAAGAAACGATGGGGAAGAGAGAGAAGAGGGGATGAAAGAGTGATGATGGAAGGTTGGTTGTGAGAATTACGGTGCAATTCCCAGGAGAGAGAGAGAGAGAGAGAGAATTAGATGGATTAGGGTTAGGACTGCAATGGACTTCGCATTTTCAGGGGGCATTTTTTGGGGAAAAAATGGGAAAGGGGTGAAATTGTAGGCAAGGGGGTAGATGAAGTTTTAAAGGAAACTAAGATGCCATCTGAAATGGAAATAAAAAGGAGGTTTTTTGGGAAATCCCAAACTTTTTAAGGGGTGGATATTTGAGAATTTTCCTATGTATACATTTAATTTTCTATGTAATTGTTATTTGTCACTTGTTTTAATTTCAATCTTTGTGATGTACTTAAATATCTTGTTGTATGTGATTGTTTTGATGGAATATCTTGTTATAGTTAGCATTCCTGTTTTAACTTGAATGGAGCTACCGGATTCTTATTTTGGTATGACGTCCTATTTGCAGAGAGATTTAAGGAATTCCTATTTTAAAATGGAGCCATGGCATCCCTATGTTGGTTTTCTGCAGGATTCTTGTAAAGGAGATAGAATTTAGGAAATTTAGCGGATAAAAAGAGTTATGGATAGAATTCAAAATTCACACCCGTACTTTTTCTACACACACACACACACACACGTGTACTATCAAGGAACTATGAAATTCACCAAAGACGACCATAGGAACCTGTTGTCTTCCAAGATTAAGAGTCAGTGTTAAATACTCTGTTGAAATGACAGCGAGATACTTTTAATTGGATTACAAATCTATTAAATCACATTTCAAGTCTAATACATTTTTTGTTGACATTCTGATGGCCTCAAAATTGAGTATATGATACTGCTTGTTATGCAACTCTTTTATCTTGAGGATTGTTGTAATTTACCTTCTAGGGATTAAGTAAAATGTCTGCTAGTTGATGCTCAAGTTTCTCTGTCTAACAAAGTGACATCTGTTCTTTTTCTTTCTTTCTTTTTTAACTACCCTTGTGGTCTGTCTTTTCATGGAATACTGGATGTGCTGCCAGTCCGAGTTTCTCTAGATCTGATTTACTGTAGTCCAAAAAGTTTTAATCCAGCAGTTTTTACTGGTGCATGTGATCTTTAACATAACAATTTTTTTCTTGGAAATTTTTTTTAATGGTCTTTATAAACTATGATCTTTAAGTCAGTAAGTTCTTTTTATTGATATCGTATATGAATCTTATGTGTAGGCTGGAAGGTTGCAGTCTGAAAGAAATTTCCTTCAAGTGGTAATCCATTACGCTGCTTCATTTACTATTCTTTGAAGTCCCGTTTAAGTTATAGGGAGTTTGGGTTCAATATCCGTTTGTATCCAGTTTAATATTTACTGTCATTCAAAAGTTGCATATCCATGAGATTTCTGCCAGCATATGGATGTATGTATGTCCCATATGCACATTTTCTGGGTTTAAGCTCCATGGGCCTTCCATGGATGCACACAAATGCATGCACTCCATGTGATCATCTCTTTGCATGAGGTGTGTATTATCAAGAGCTCACGTCTATCTATGCACATGCATATTGATCTATTACATGCAAGTGCATTTCTTTTTATTTTATTATTTTTAGTTTTATTTTTCCTCTACATTCAGCTACTGAGGCACCAAGAAATTATCGAAGAGTTGGCTAAGGAGAATCAGAATCTTCGGCAGATACTTGTAGAAGAGTTGAAGGTGTCTGCGTCTAAGTTCCACTTTAGTGAGAGGGCCACTAAAGTTTCCAGTGTTTGCAGTGATTGTTTCGATTGCCGAAGGAGACAAAGGAAATCCCCCAGGTAAACATATCCATGTAGAGGATAGCTGAGCACCATCGTCAACTGCTCCATTCCCTCTCCAAATACATTCAAGATGTTGGTATGTATATTAATGTATGGATAGATGAACACGAGTACATGTTCTCTCCATACTCTGCAATGAAAATTTGATGCCTTAGGCATTCTACTCAAGAGAAGGCCTAAGATGATTTGTTTCTTTCCTTTTGTTATCTTTTTTTTGGCCTTCATTCGTTTTTGTAATAGGAGATCATTGAGTAGTACACTCACAAGTTGAAGGGATTCATTGGTTGTTTTGTGCTGCATTTTTCTCTGTGAAGGAAAGGAAGACCTGTATACGAACTGTTTGCTGTCTTATCCTGTGCAACATGGTTGAACTTTTAGCTTTCCAATGGACTTAGCGATCACTTTGGGATTGAGCTTATGACAGTATAGAGAGAGAGAGAGAGAGAGAGAGAGAGAGAGAGAGAGAGAGAGTATTACTTAATTTATTAGTAAGTAAATAGTAACTAATAGTATAGTTAAACTATT